ATGTTAAGTTTGTAGGTGGGGGGATCGTATTCGATGTAATCTTAGAATTTGTGGGTGAGTTTAGGGGGCGTAGTGTGAAAGAGCGGAAAAGATTTTGGTACAGAACTGCTAAAAAAATTTGCTACTTGGGATTGAGCAAGGTGAATTACCTTTGGACCTTTGGGCAAAGTGTGTTGCAGCTTCGTCAGACCAATTTACTCAATTCCACCCCCCCCCCGCTTGACGGCTGTTTTGGAGGGGAAAGTGGGCGAGTGGGCGGAGTTAGTGTGTCGACTGGTCTCAGAATTCAAATACTATAGAAACAGCGACCATGATGGCGAGGTGGTGAAGGGGGGGGGTCGTGAAATTCTGATTGGAAGGGGGGTCGTGAAAAAATTCCGAAAAGTCGCAACGCCAGCACTGACCCTGTCTCTAAAGAGTTTTGCTTTTACTGTGTAATTCATTACTCTTGTGCTTGAGCAATAAATAAGTGGCCAGAAACAGACTGAGGCCAAGTCCTGCCCAGGTTAGGCTTGTCCCCACCCATAAGAAGCCCCCGGCATTCTACAGATATTTAAGCTGTTTATTTCAGGAGGATTACGTCCACTTGCGATGTCTGAGTTACCCAAACACGGATGTTTTCCTTGTTGTGTTTTTCACTCGTCGATCCGAAAAGTCTAGTAAGTTTTCCTTCACTCCATGTCTTTTCTACTGGTTTTTTGGAATCTGATCACACTACTTTTTCCCTAAACGCTTTCTTTGGAGCGATACTCAGTCAGAGAAAAGAGATCCAATAACGACATTCAAAAAACTGGTCTAATCTATGCGATTCAAGCCGGGGATAGCTCCTTTCTTTATCATGCATGTTTCCGAAACCCTTCCATTATGCGTTAGCGCTTTCCGCTAGACTTCTGAACGATTGCAACTGTTATCAAACAGGATGCATTATGACGGGATATCCTTCATGGCGGACGGAATGAATTCTATACTATTTTTTCAAAATTCAATAGCTCGATTAGGGCCACACGAAGTGATTATTTTCGAAGCTCAGGTAAAAATCACGCATTCAAAAAAGCTAGTGCAGTTTTCCCTTCATTTCGTGGCTCACGTCTGCATCGAAATTCCACTGCAGCCCTCCATATTTTTGCTCCCCATCTGGAAGGCTGACCCAGACACCATGTACCTCTGCATTCTCGCCTCAACAGCTAGAGCAGATTTCCCTTCATTTTGTGCACTAACCAAGTTGGCGTTTCAAAGTCCTTAAAGGCAGCGATTACGATAGATTCGAGAAGGGTTCAAAGGAGACGTGATGGTGCTTAATAGCACGCAGTGGCGAGAAAACCTGAAAAATCCGTCGAGAAAACGCAAAACGGGACCCTCTTGCTTCAGCCGTTCTTTTTCACTCATGAACAGTAACAGCTCAGAAATCGGACGTATGAACTCAGATTCGAGCGCGGCGCAATGCGTTTGGTGCAGCATGCCGAGTTGCTCCAGTTGTGCCGCTGCTGGACAACGCAGCTCGTCCAAATCACCAACTAAACTAGTGGGCGGATCGCTTTTGGGGGCGGAGCGCTTTCGAAGTCCTGCTCAGCAACCAGCGCACCTTTCGTCGTGAAAGTGCCACATCGCTTTCCTTGGCAGCCAAGTAAATGCTTCGTGTGGTGCATATGCTTCCCCGATGCGCTTCTCCTTATCGTTATCGCTGCCTTTTTAAGTCTCAGATTTCTTGTGTTGTGCAATCGTTAAAAATTTAACCACGCTCTCTGGTATCGTTCAAGAACCGTTCATGAAATGCATGCCACTATTAGGAAGGGGCTTCGAAAGGATGACACTAGTTGGATGTCGTTTCTCTTCTATACTCTTCTGTGCTAAGGCACCGTCTTAAAGGAATCTTCCACGGAAAAAGCTCCGCCCTCATTACCACAGAAAACGATACCTTAAAGGAATCTTCCACGGAAAGAGTGATCATTTTGTCTTGTGTGTAGGATTAGTATTATCGAAACTAACGCTTATGTTCCGTTCTTTTTGCTATGCTCATGAGGCTAGGGGCCTAAGGGGTATCGTTTTTCTGTGGTAATGGAGGCGGAGCTTTTTCCGCGGAAGATTCCTTTAAGACTACTAAATTTCTACTCGTACGAAAAATTGGAAACTGAGATTCAATAATAGATTGCGAACGTGAAGAGAATCGGGTAAGTGAAAATCAAGACGAGGACGCCTGAGGAGATGGAATATTTCTATAGGCTATGAAGGCCCTTACTTTAGCAATAAGGAGCAGCAGGTAGGTAAGAGAATGGTGAGCGCTGCGGAGAGGGAAAAGAGTTGGTGTTGTAAGAGCTCAGCCCGACAGGAGCGGACTCAGTCTGTGAAGGTAATCGAGCGAGGCGATGACGCTAGGTGGGAACCTTGCCTTACAACAAGCTTACCTTAGTGCTTTTGCTAGCATCTTTATCGCGCGAGTCAATACGGCGATGCTGCGCGATCTCTTAGCTTTCTCGCGCCTAGAATGAAATCCATGTTACCCTAGCCTGGATAATGATGGTGGGGAGGGGGCGGTGCTATGTATAGTTATTGAAGTAGTTGGTCGCCTTGAACATGTACATATAGCTGAAAACGGCCACGGCGTGGTTCAAACTAGCAGAGTTGCAAAACACGTACGCAGAGCCTCTGTCCTTTGCGCAAAAGCTACCTGACTGTTGTAATCATCTTGAGAGTCATAGAGTGACTACATGGTTAGATTTCCAAAGCTATTTCTTCTTGTGTGACATGAATTTTATGTTTTCAGGACGTTTGTCAGACGGTGTGGTTGCCGGAGATTCGCAAATACGCCGGTGATAATGTGCCCGTATTACTGATAGGAACCAAGGAAGACCTGTTAGATTCGTCGGACGAGAGACAAACGGGTCACGTTCGATACCGCACGAAAAGCCGCCAGATGATGTTCAGGCAAATTTCAAGAGGAACTTTCTAGAAACCTTGCTGTTTCTTGTATTGACTACAAGGACTACTGAAATAGGAAGTACTCGAATTACTACGCTGTAGTGGCATTCCCCCTATTAATATTACTTCCTCAAGCACTGCGTCTAAAAGTAGTCCGACTAGTGCGGAGGCAAGCGACGCAGTTACCTCGGGGGCGGTACAGGGATTGAATTGTATTAGATGTAGATCGTAATCGCCTCCAGGTGAGCCAAGTTTCCATCAAAGGTCAAGCGTGTGTTGAGCAATTCTCTCAAGGTCGGGGGTCGTACTAGCTCCAGTGGAAGAGTGGGGAGGGAAGGGAGTGTCGCAAGAGCCGAGATAAGCAATTACCAGAGCGGCGGCAGCCTGTTCGGGAGTGGGTAAGAAACGCGATTCTTTAGTTTACGATGCCACTCAAGACTTCTTGAAATCATCGCATTGAAGGAAATTACGCCCTTTGAAAGTAAAAACTGGCGCTTCTCGAGAAATTTCCTCGCTGATCTCCCGAAATGCTGGTCGTAATAACTTTCTCCAACCACAGGTTAAAACACTTTAGAAGATACTGTGCAAGAAAAATGCTAACCTTCTGTCAGAACATACGAAGTTATTACCACTTTTAAAATTTATGGCCATTTGAGGACGAGTTCAATTTCAACGTGTTCCTCCAGTAGATAAGCTGCTCCAAGGTCAACACATGTGTCGCAAGAGTAATCATCTCTCCTCACAGGCCGTCTGTTCGCGAAGATGACTTGTTCCTAGAAAACTGGGGGAGGGGGGGTATCTCAGGGTTTTCCTCGACGCCTCGCTTGACCCTGTCGCATTCCATTGGTGGCTGGTCGTACCAGGTTTACCCGGGAAGACTTGAATCCTTGTCTTACTGCCCCTCGCAAGTTACTGGCCGTCCAGCATTCAAAACCACTACAATTGTGAACGGAAGTAAAATGCGTGGCGCATCTATAAAAGTGTTGACCAACGCGGGAAAATTTAGGCTCTTGTGCCTGAACATTGCGAAAGGCACAGGAAACACTTACTATCGCAGGTCGCGCTTGACCACGTTGTGTGGTCGATAGTGGCTAAGCAAACATAGTCGGCCTCGTCGTCTTATGGCTGCAGAATTTGTGGAGCGATACGCGAATGCCCTGAAAATTTAGAAATGCGGGGGTTCTCTCTTCATAGCTGAACCTAGATTTAAAATCTCAAAGAAGTATCAAAGTTCGCAAGATACGGATGGCAGCAGAAAGGGCACTATCGCCACATTCAGATTTGAAGTTTTGGAGCTGAAGCTCCATTAAATTCCCGAGTTCTTCCACGTATTCAAAATGACGAAGCTTCCAGCCCGATTATTGATCCCGTCTCAGGATGCGCCATGCGCTTACTTCCTTTCAGAATCACGGTGGTCTTTGGATGCTAATGTTATATATGGCCCAAGCTTTGATAGCGTGGTCAGCCGATGTTGAACTCGGCTTCTTCATCCTTCAAACAAATCTGCTACCAAAAAGTCGCCAATAGAAGGTTGGAAGGCCGGTTGGTCTAGGCGAGCGAATATTATATCTTTGTGAGTTATAACAGGCTCCACTATCGTGAGTGACAGTAGACGTTACCGTGAAAAGGTAAACGATAAAGCGATAGGCCCTTTCCAACTTTTTGCGAGTACGCAATGCATACGAACCCTGACCTTAATTGCCGTAACATTTCAAGTTTGTATGGGCACTACATTGCATTCCGAAAGGCAGTCGATTTATGTACCATACCATTTGATTATTCGTATAATTTTCCGCATTTCAGATGGGCTGCATCAAGTTTCTCCCGTGTTCAGCACTCACCCATCGAGGACTGAAGCAGGTTTTCGATGAGGCGTTTTTGCTGGCGATCGGCGTCATCGTTAAGGACGATTACATGAGGCCCTGTTGTATTATATTGTGACCCAAATTCATGTACAGAAAATGTGCTCAAAATATGATATAGTCAATTCAGCGGTGGCCGAAAAAGGACATCCTCTAGCTATCTTTGGGCCCTGTCAATCACGGGGCGTATTCGTATAGAGATATCCCAGAGTTCGCTCATTTCTATGGAGCGGTCCACATGTGATGAAAGAGGCGAAATTCAGGGCGGTTCTGAAATTAGTCATGCGTTTCCCTTTTTAAATATAACTACCACGGACATGTCACTACATCTCTCCTAACACTGCTCGATGGTGTAGTTCGGCTTAACGCTCATGAGACTTTCCCAGCAAATCGTTGCAAAAATGGGTGATCTAGTCGGTAAAACTGCCTTCAG